GATCCCAGCCCTGGGCTCCCCCAACTCACCGGTGCTGGAGGAGTTTCAGCAGCAGGTCATTCCCCCTGTTTGACATGATATCTTCTGGGACCCTAAGGCACACCAACAGGGGGGCAGAGTTAAGGGTATTTTCCAGACTCTTCACTGACATGAGTTTGACAGTTCTCTGAATTCTTTATATGGCACACTAGAACTGCAGAATCCACTTCCCCAAACCCACTAGACCCCACTTCCCTCCGTGTGCCGGGGATGGAACCCAGGAGTCCTGGCTCCCGCCTCCGTCTCCTCCCGCTCTAACCACTAGACCCCCACATCCCTCCCCGACTTTTACTCACGTGGTGGTGATAATTTCATCCTTCGTTCTTCTGACCAGCAACACTGGCCCCTGGTATCTTGGGAAACAAAGAAATAGAAATAAACCGCTAAGTGAGGCCACATGACCGGGTGGGGTGGGTGAGATAGTGAATTAACATCCCCCCTCCTCCACCTGTCCAAGATGAGATATTTCACCAGTGGCAAGTAGTCCCGAGGCTTAATCCTGAGGGCCAAGATTGTGGATAGGTTCAAGAAGGGATACTGTTAACCTGCGGAACTCCCCACCCCATGATATTGTCCTGATCAACCTGCCACTTGATACCAGAAGCCAGGACAGAGGGAGAGACTTAGACTTCATTATTGGGCTATGGAGCCAGCTGCCACAGGATACGAGGACAAGAGTTTGGAGGGATTGGGGAAGAAAGGATTTAGCCACGAATATGCATGAAATAATGTGGCAGGCAGTTCCACAGGTTATCAGTAAGGCCCGGAGATGAGCAGGGCTGGGTCCAGAGATTTGGCTTCAGATGGAGGTTCACAACCACACCCCGTTGTCCGGGGCTGGGTTTTTCTGAGCCGAACGCCTGCAGAGCGCCACCCTGCGAACCCGACATTCGTCAGGTCTCAACTTCCCCCAGCCGTCCGCACCTCAGTTTCCCTTTTTACCTGCAAAGCTGCTCGCCGTTGTTCAAGTTCAGGTATTGCCTCACCGTCCTGGTGACCAGCCCTCCTAGGACATGCAGGTTTCAGAGGAATTAGAACTCAAAAACAAAATCGTGGAGAGTCAAGTATGACCTAGCCGCAGAAACACCCAGGGGGGTTTCCGGAACACCCGGGGGTGTTTCGTCAACACCACGTTTAATAAATAAGCTTCAATCCTGCTCGTTCCTTGGAAACCATCTACCCAGCTATGGCCAGACTCCGCTTCCAGATAGGTGCCACGTAGAACATTAGTTGCAACAGTGTTTAATTTTTTTAATTTTATTTTTTAGCTAGATTCAGCCAAGAACATTTCCCTCTAAAACTTCAACCAGGAATTAATTCAGCAGCATTCTCCAGGCCGGGTTACGCAGGAGGCCAGACCAGATGACCACCATGGTCCCTTCTGCCTCAGTTTCCAAGGTGTGAAGAATGCTCAGAGGGACCTAAACAGCTGCGGTGGGGCACCGAATGTGAGCTGCGACAGCGTTCCGAAGAGTAAGAAATCAAATCGATCCAGCTGACTGTGGCACCGATCTGCCTCCAGACAGGTGCCATATAGAACATTGGTTGCAACGGCGATACGGTAAAAGCGCTAGCTAACTTGCGGCAGGGCGATACAGACCAGGAGGTCTCACACAGTGCATTTCCAGGATCTCAAAGAGCTTTATGAAGGAGGCCAGTCCCATCAGCTCCATTTTACAGATAGGGAAACAGAGTCACAGAATGGTGACATCACCCAGCAGGCCAGCGAGAGCCGGAAAGAAACCCCAGGTCCCAGAGTACAACGCTCTATCCACTAGGCCACCCTACCTGCTGGAGAGATCAGAGCAATCTAGCCCCACATCGTGCCACCAGGCAGGTGCGATACAGAACATCAGTTGCAACAGTGACTGTAGGTTGCCTCTAGACCGTAAACAACGATCGTTAGGTTAAAAGCGGCTCGGCACTAACGAGCGATAGATGCAGCCAGAGGCTGGGAGCTGATCTCTGGCAACCCAGCCCGGTCAATGTCTCGCTGCAGGTGCAGGACAGAACACTGGTTGCAACAGGGACGGTTGTATTCACAGTGGACTGACCCATTTTCCACAAGGGGAGGAAATTAATCCCCCGCACAAATGGCTAATGGAACCTCTCAGGGAGAGGAAGCTAACTCCCGCCTGCCACCTGATAATGAAAGCTTCCTCTGTTTCCGCAGCCAATTGGGTTTGCCCACCCCTACCGCCGCCACACATGGGACACTCCAGAATGTCACGGCTCAGAGGGGAATTCTGAGTGGCTGGGTGGGGTCATAGGACCTGCTGGGGGATCGGAAAGTGGGAGACTTATGAGATGGGATAGGCCGCTGGATTCTCAGACTAGTCCATGTGTTTGAGGCAAGGGGCCAAACCACGTGGGCGGCGTGAGGAGGGGGAAGGGCTGAACCATGTGGGCAGAAGGGGGGGGATCACTTACTGCAGCTCTCTGGCATGACCTTGAGCGCCAGGGGTACCAGGTCGTCGAAGGAGGCATCCAGCACCAGGGCGCTGATGTCCGGGTACGACATCGCCGCCCACGTGGCTGCAGGAGAGAGGATGTCAGCGGGGTGGGTGGGGGGTAGATCAGCCCCCCCCCCCCCATACGCTCAAACACAGACACCCGCCTGGGGCAGGCTTGGATCTGTCCCCACTTCTGACTCTCCCCTCGTATATGGTCCCTCCCTCCCCAACCCAGCCCCCATGGTTCCTTCCTCCCCCCCCTCCCCGGCCCCCCCGGTACCTGTGAAGCCCCCGATGGACCAAGCGTACAGCACAATGTCCTCGGGCGGGAAGCCCAGGCGGTGGATGGCGTATTGCATCACCACGTCCATGGCGTTGGCCTCGTTCTGCGGCAGGGGGACGCCCTGCGGGGGAGAGCGGGGGGGTTGGGAGACCGGACTCCTGGGTTCTCTCCCCAGCTCTGGGAGGGGAGTGGGGTCAGGTGGTTAGAACGGGGTGGGGCTGGGAGCCAGGACTCCTGGGTTCTCTCCCCAGCTCTGGGGACCCCCAGACTCACCGTGCTGCCAGCGAAGCCGGGGTGGTTCCATCCGAGCACCGAGTAGCCGGCTGGGAGGGAGAAGCAGGGAGGGGTTAACGTGGGGCCAAGCGCAGCATGGACAGAACCCACTGGGCGGATGCCAGAGAGATCATTGGTTGCAACAAAGTGTGGGGAGCTGATGGGCAGTTCCACTGCTGAGTATGGGGGGGCACAACTCACCCCCTGGTATCCTGCAGTTTAGGACAACCTGTGTCCCCCAAACTGGAGTGCCCTAGGGCAGACAGAAGGGTGGCAGCCCCAACCCCCTCCCCAAATAGAAATGGATCCTTCCCAATGAACCCCTATCCCATGCAGAGAAATGGATTGGGCCAAAAGAAAGGTTACCTGATTCCTGCACCCCCATCCTGCACAGCGATATGGGTTAGTCCAACCAGGACCATCCCAAGGAAAAGTGGATTGGCCCAAATGGGGCTGCCCTAACCTGTTGCCCCACATACAAAAAAATGGATGGGTCCAAAAGCCAACCCTCTATCCCAAAGCACAGGAATGGGCTAATCCAAAGGGAGACACCCCCCCACCCCAGCCTCCACCCCCATCCAGAGCAGGTAGCTTGGTCCAAAAGCAGTGCCTCCCCCGATGCATAGAAGTCAACTGGTCCAAGCAGAGCTGTGCCCCAGTCCTGCCAAAGGGATCGGATCCTACCCAAGTGGAAAGGGGGGAAGATCCCCAGTGATGCTGGATCGTACCATCCAGGGGGGTGGGCAGGCAGCCGACCTCATAGAATCCAGCGTTGCCTTCGCAGCAGATCACCTGGGGGTGGGTGGGGGACACAGAGGGGACAATGAGGGTCCCGGCTGAACCCCAACTCGGGCACATCCATTCGGCCTCCCTAAAATCAGATACAGGATCTCCCCCCCCAACCCATCCTAAGTTGCTGCAGCGTCGCCATGCGGCTGTTCCCCAGCCGCTGCGCCCCAGAGATGGCTGCATCTCAGCGCCGGGCGAGCCGTCCCCGAGCAGCGTCGCTGTGTGACTGTTCCCCAGCCGCTCCGCCCCAGAGTCAGCTGCATTTTGGTGGGGAGGAAGTTGCCCCTATGTATTAAAATACTCCGTGGCTTCAGTTCCATTTCAGGCCAGCGCAGGGAGTCCTGTCCTTGGCCAGGGGACTGTTTTCAAGTTGTTCCCCCACCCTCCTGGTTGGCAGGAGGGGGCATTACGAGCGCAGCGCGAAGCCGGGCCCCTCCCTTGGGGTGGGTGAGGTGGCTCAGCCTGGTCAAATTTGGACCCCAGCTGGGCATTGTGTCCTTACGCACCGAGGAGGCAGCGCTGGGAACAGAGCTGCTACGGACACTGTCGTCCGGGAGGCAGGAAACCGTTACACTGAGGGAGAGGCCCCCGAACGCCCCAGGCCAGTGCCAAGTGGGGGCCCCCCAATCCCCACTGGCCGGCGCCAAGCGGCTGGCGCTGCCTCCAGCCCACGGGGCCCCGATTGCCCTGTGATCGGCTCTTTTGCTATGAATTATTGGCACTTTATACCACCAGCTGTCTGCCCGGCGCTGCGCCACCTCCCGCTCGATCCGCCCCGCTACCAGGACGGGGTTCGCCCCTTCGTCATGGAGAGTGCCCGGGCTGTGGATTTGTCCCCCCAGAGTCCCTGCTTTCCGGATCCAGACCCCCACCCCGTAAGCGCGACCCACGTCCCGGCTGGACCGAGCCCCCGCCGCCGAGTGGAGAAACGCTCACCAGTTTCTTGCCGTGGGGCTCGGAGCTTTCCCGACGGTCCACGAACATCGTGTCAATCTCGTTGCCGTCGCAGGCTAACAGCTTGGCTCGTTTCCCATTGTACTGGGCCGCCGGGGGAAGAGATTGGTGCGGGGTTAAACAGGAAACCCAGGACTCCTGGGTTCTCTCTCCAGCTCGGGGAGGGGAGCAGGGCCTAGTGGGTTAGAGTGGGGGCGAGGGCCGAGAGCCAGGACTCCTGGGTTCTCTCCCCAGCTGCATCCTGTGCCTCCTGGACTCACCTCCTCCACCAGGCGGGCCTGGCCCTGCAGCAGCATGGGCATGACGGCTTTCTGCAGCAGGTAGACGGAGCCGGGATACAGCATCCTGCGCCCGAACGTGTGCGCCACGATGTAGCTGGGGGGGGCAGAGGGAGGCGGTAGGTGGGGACGGCGCTGTTCCCCTGCCCCTCCCTCGGAAGAGAATCCTCCCTCCCCCCCACATCCACGAGATCTGCCCCCCACCATCCAGGAGATCCAATTTATGGTCAGGGATGAAAATCACATGATTGTCCCTCCCCAGCCAATGAGCATCTGGGATCCACAGGTCCCATGTCCCACTTACCCTCAGCCAATAGGCAGCAAGGGGGCACTCCAGCCAATCAGAAGGCAGGATTCCACCACCTCCCCCAGCCAGAAGCTGCCGAGTTGCACCCCTAACCAATCAGTAGCCAGGATCCCCTCTCAGCATTCCAAGCCCCACTCACCAGCCCTCAACCAATCAGCACCCTTCCCTCTCAGCACTCCAGAACCCCCCCCCCCCCGCCGTGCCCTCCTATCCCTGTGGCCAATCAGCAGACAGGACCCCTCCATCAACATTCCAAAGCCACCTCCCCCTTCACTGGCTGACCAATCAGCATCCAGGAGATGCTCCTAATGTTCCAGTTCCTCCCACCCCGTCTGGCCAATCAGCACCAAGGAGTCCTCTCTGCCCTCCCCCATCTCCCATGATGCCCTGGTGCTGACGCCATGACTCCCATAATGCCTTGGGTCTCCCCAGCTTCTAGGAACCCCTCCAAGCATTCTGCACCCCTCCTTCCAGCCAATGGG